CTTTGCAACACAAAGGAAACTAATATCACACAACCACAATTCACACACATAAAGAGTAGTTACTGGTCAATTTGGGTGGAGGATTTGCTGAGGTAAGAAAGAGGAAGGGACCCTGGGTGGAGCAGGAGGAGGAAGAGGAAGACGATGGGGAAAGAGGAAGAAAAAGTGCTTTGTAAACAGCAAGAGTTAAATCTGCTGACACTGGCAGACGGCAGCATTTAGCTCGGCTCTTGTTGTGAACATGAGTGTGAAATGATACTACCAAGAATTAGGTCCGCTAGTACAGGTGAAACCATTTGATAAACTTGGGGTCACAGGATGTATTCCTTTTCAGTTACATAAAAAAAGATGTAACCAGATTGCTTTTACATTTATACAAATTGGGGTTTACTAGCAGGATTACAATGTTACTTAAAAACTAAAAAGAGCATATAGTGTTTGTTGTAAAAGGATCAGATGTTATCTCTTCTCTGTAAGCTGTACTGTCCTGTAAGCTAATACTTTAAGTGTGAATCTATACGCCTGAATCTGCTTTATGATTTTCACTTTCTTTGGTTCATTTGTTCTGTTTTTAATTCAGTAGGTGAACCTATATGTTCATAAAATAGTGTGTGTGAGCTTAAACTAAAACGGAGCATTTTCTGTCAGCTCAGATTTTATTTCTGCTTTTTTAAACTTTAGTATGTGCTAATGTGTTTCATTGTTTGTGTTTGGGCTGCTGCCTGAATATGCTGAATGAAAGGCAGGTTTTCCTATCAATAAAATAATTTCTGATCCTAAATATCTTGGTGTCTTCCTTTCAAAAGGTCACATTGTTCTGTTGTCCTACACAATACACGTTTAAAACACCTTGGTGATATTTCCTTTTTCTTGTATTTTTTGCATTGCTTTGATATGAAGGCAATTCCAAAGTAATGGAGGGTAATCCAGTTACATTACTTTTATATTTTGATACTCAGATTAGGTTAAAGATTACATTTTTGTTATGGTTAACTCGTAATTGTAACAGAATACATCCTTAATGTACCCTTCCTAACCCTAGTTTTTGTGTAATAGCCTAAGTAATCCACTTAATATCCAAAGACCTCAAAACCAGCCTTATCCCAAGAACAAATCAACGAAAACTATTAATCCATTTGTTCCTTCTGACCGATGGCTTCTTCTTTGCCAAGCGATAAATATTGATTAAAGCCACATAGCTTCCTGTTGAGTCAAAGTGAATTTGAGGGCTAATGACTCAGTTATCCTCAATCGCTCGCTGAGGTTCATTCAGTGGCTCCTTGGGGGATTCGGGGATTCAGACAGGGCAGTAGTGTTTTTTGGCGCAGGTTGTAGTGACCCACATATATCAGAGTGAGCTGGATAGCATAAACAAGAGGGCCATTAGGAGCCACATGAATAATAGATGAAAACATGGAAAGTGAAGCCTTTAAAGTGGGATTCCTTGAACATTGTTTACCCAAGTTAATTCGGTATTGTGTGTTTGAGTAGTGACTGAGAGAACAAACGAGAACAAGATAGAGAATAAAGATTTTTAAATGAGGTCCGTCATCAGTCTTGGTCTTTGGTGATATTGTTCTTGAAGTGTTAAAAGATATAGCAGATTTATTTTTAGAAGAGCTGGCCATGACGATGCTAATTCTGGGAAACTCAGCTGAAACAGCAGCTTTTTTCAGTTCTCCCTTTCCTATATGTTATTTAGGTTTTTGTGCATATAGATGGTCTGCAAAGTTCCCTCCCACTCGCCCCTCCTGCAATGAAACTCCTCCATTGGACTCCTTTGTTTACTTTCGTAACATAGTGACATCACTATGTAACACTCCCGCTTATATAGCACTGCAACACATTGTACGTGATAGGCTAAGAGGCGGGACATCTTGATCAATAACAACAGAGCTGGTCAGCTAACCAATCAGAGCAGACTGGGCTCTGGTTTCAGACAGAGGGTGAAAAGAGGTGCTGCAGCACAGGCAGTATGAGCAAAATAAAGAGCTTTTTGAACATTAAAGCATGGAGACATGTCCCAGTAGAGGCACAAATTATAAATATGAACCCTAAAATGAGCTAAACATATCCTCTTAAAGTATCTGTCAAGGCTACTTTAACATTTAGACTGTACCGTTGGTCTGAACTGCTTATTGAGGTTGTAAATCAAGTGGGCTAAGTAGGGTCCTTTTCTCATAGACTTCTATACAGTACAATCTAACTCCCTGCTGGCAGTTTGAATGAATGCAGGTTTACTTCACTTTCAAACCCTGAACCTCAATGCAAAGTTGTCCATCCTAAAACACTACTACTGCTAATTATAGACCATTACTGCAGGACATACTTAACAAGAATCAATTGAAATGTGACATTTTACCAATAAAAATGGGCAGGAACAACTCTCACTATGCACCTACATCCTGAACTCTGTTAAAGAACACTACAGATGCTGTGTCATGGCTGCTGATGTTGCCATGCAACCAACCCACCCACATCGTTTTCAGAGAGATGGACATCATTACAAGTTTATTATCATCACAAAATTGTGGTTTTTGTCAGAAAAACTGTTTCCTATAAGCACAACCTCTTGATGTATGACCATAAGCAGGAACTCTTGATGTATGATCTGCATGGCTCCCATTACACAGCTCCCAGAAGAATCTCCTCCAAAATACAGATGAATTGCCTGCGTAAAAGGAGCTGCTATGTGCTATCACAGAACAATAAATACTAAATATGTTCATCTTCAGTCCAGATACTGTAGAGAAAAGTGTGACACCCATGCTATACTCAGGCTGACATTTTCCAGACTTATTTGAAATATTTGAATGGGTTGTCACCACTGAGGACATCATTCCTATCGCACAAGTTAAATGTTTTTCTTGTAATGTCAGAAAATACTGAACAATTCTCTTCATTGTTTCCCAGAGCCCAAGGTTATGTCATAAAGCTGCTTTTAAACCTACACATATCCAGTTTACTATTACATACACCTTACTTAAGATAAAAGTTAACATATAATCCCCTAGTTTATTTGTTTATGTAAATATGGTGTATGCTGCATTGTCGGAGGAGCCTAAGACTATAGTGATCGCCAACAACTATTCTTTAGCGTTTCATATTGTTTCATAAATAGGTCAAGGGCATTTATTTTAATACAAAAAATAGGGAAAATAAAAAAAGTATTCATCCGTCATTCCGATTATCCATTAAAACCCTCAAAATTATTTTATATCATTGATCAAAAGACATATGTGGTGGAGGGTAGAGTACATGCAGTTCACAACTATAAAATAAGTTGAATTGATGTTATTGGTTATGTTCATGTTCTTATATTGTGATAATACAGATTCATTTTTGAATGTTGAGAGTTGTTCACACCGCCCCTTCCCTTAACAAGATCACAAGGTTTTTCATTAATCAAGCCTCTTAATTTTGCTCTCAAACTTATTGATGCATTTAACGTTGAATATTCAAAACAAATCTTCCTGGGAACCCCCAATTCCTGCACTGCGCTTGGCCACCAATAAAGATCCTAACAAAGCTCTTCTCTGGAACTACGATGGTTGGGCATTCTAGCTTGAAAATAAAATGGATTAATTAAGTAGTTACTGATCAAGTGTTAATTTATCAATGAATCCATGCATTATTTCAGCCCTAATGTATTGACTTCACAACTAGTGACAGCCTAAACAATTATCAAATGACAAAAACCATTGAAAAAACCCCACAATATCCTTCGTTTTGTAGTGAAATCCTTCTTACCCAAAACAAACAATAATCTGTCAAATTATTTTATGTCATTTTTTTTTTGTCACCATGCAAGCTTGTGAAATACTGGTGTAAATTCACTCAAATGTAATTGAATCCATATAATACTGTTCAGATTTACTATTGGAAATATTTCATCTATGTCTGCTGGATTGGTATTGACTCCAGGATCATTCTCATGTATCACTTTCTCCTGCTCCCACATGCTTCACAGAAAGCCAATAATCTCTCCTTATGGAACAATAAGAGCGGAGCACATGACCTCCATTTGGGGTCATCGGCTTGTGAGGCAATAAAATGTGCAGTGTGGAAGAGAGCCGCATTATCTTTCATATTCAGGTTGGAACAGACAAAGGGAGAGGAATGACAGGCAGACATGACAGACCCTGAATCAGAACATGTTGGATGGACGAGTGATCCGTGCGTTTAGCATGCTGGAGACATCAAGCTGCAGAACCACAGACAGACAGACAGACAGACAGACAGACAGACAGACAGACAGACAGACAGACAGACAGACAGACAGACAGGAGGACAGGAGGACAGACAGGGAGGCTGGCTGTCTGACGGCTGCTCGGCTTCTCACGCCTTCATGTTTTCCTGCCAGATCAGCCTGACAGAAAATCAATGACGCTGCACTCTCACGGAGACGCACAGTAACCAGTGAAAAGGGCGAGGAGTAGAGACTGAATGTGCAATAATCATGTCTGCACCTTCCCTCATACACAATAAGGTGATTGTAATGTATGCATCTGATGTGTATGTAACGGAATGTGTGAAAAACATCTACCCTAAAGTATACAGGCCTCTGTAATATATGCCAATTTGCTCCACAAAGATAGGTTCCTGATTAAGACACGTTAATAGGATCCTGCAGGCTTATTAACACACACCCCGAAATGATGAGCAACATTAATAGCCAGACACATTGAGAAACCCTTTGTGAGCTGGTTGTGAACGAGCTGGGAAATGGGGGTGCGCATCACGTCAAGCATGTCCGATAATGGGTGCATACGGGTTTACATGCGCAGCCAATATTAGGGAGGCGGGTTTCGCACCAACAACCGCCGCATTTCTCCATCTTAATATTAAATGAAAGGGAAATTAGTAGTCTAGAGGTGTGTGTCAGGATACACTTGGAATAGAGACAGACAGCTATTGGTTATGATTATGCTGTTTTATTATGATTCTCAGGGACGCACGTGTGATTCGCCACCATCCCAGTGAAATAAGCTTTTATTTACCTTCATGTCGTTGACAATCGCCTGGAATAAACCCCCGAGGGCCCCGCATTCCTTCTCCACGGTCTCCATGTTTGCCAAATCCACCATTCAACGGAATTTGCAAAGCGCGCACCGACAGCGCGCTACCAACACTAGGCAGGAAAAAAAATGCAAAAAAAAAAATGTATTTCCACAAGCTGGCTCTCCGGTTTATCCTGTAAACCGACAATAACGGAGGGGATGCAGCAAAGGGAGGAGGAGGAGGAGGAAGAAGAGGAGGGGTGAGAAAAAAGGAAAAGATGCCGAAAGATATGCAGTGCTTCCAAGCGAACGGAAGATGGGTTGTGAGAGAGGAAAGACGGTCTCTTTCTCTGTCTGTCTGTCTGTCTGTCTGTCTGTCTGTCTGTCTGGATGTCTCTCTCCGCGGCTCCGGGTCAGGCAGGCGGTGTTCAGATGGTACCGGGAGGACCGCTCATCTTGGCGCAGCCAGCGCTACGCGGAGTCGGTGGGGACGCATGTGAAGGCAGCGGAGAACCGGGAGCGGTGGATCGCCGTGTGTGTCACTCAGTACTCAGGGTCTGAGCCCGTGCGTGCGTGCATGTGCGCGTAGGTGAAGGCAGGCTGTGATTGGCGCAGAGGTGGTGGGCTCAGCGGTGCGGGGAGCAGCCAGTAACACGATCCAGGCAACTGCAAGGGAGTCACACAAAAAAAAACGAGGCTGGACAACTCTGGACCCCCTGTCACATGGCACCACGCACGCTCAGACACACGCACATACTGTAGACCACCAGAAAAAAAAATGTCAGCAGGGGGGAAATGTCACATAGCGTTAGCTGCCACAAGAGTGTGTGCATGTGTGTGGGAATGTGTCCCCATAATATGGAAGCCTGTTTGCGCCACAGGAAAACAAATAAAAAATCCTGTAAATCAATATATTGACTTAGCTATCTCAATATACTGACTTACTATCTCATTATATTGACTTACTATCTCATTATATTGACTTAGCTATCTTAATATATTGACTTAGCTATCTCAATATATTGACTTAGCTATCTCAATATATTGACTCAGCTATCTCATTATATTGAGTTATATATATTTTTTTTTATTGAAACAATTAGGTCAAATACAGAATAATATGGAAGCCTGTTTGCGCCACAGAAATAAAAAAAATCTAAATCCTGTAAGTCAATATATTGACTTAGCTATCTCAATATATTGACTTACTATCTCAATATATTGACTTAGCTATCTCAATATATTGACTTAGCTATCTCAATATATTGACTTAGCTATCTCAATATATTGACTTAGCTATCTCAATATCCCTACAAAGTAGGCTCACGTTGAAATATCTGTTTTATTAATGAACCACTAAAGAGAGGTTCAGACACATGTACCAAAACATGTCAAGTTTCTCCAAGGCTGAGAACATATATGCAGCCTGTACTTTTTAATCAAACTGATTTTTAACAGAGTTTATGTATTTGTGATATACTGTGTGACCTGCTTGTATGCACTTACACAATAGGTGTACTGTTATCTCTATTTGTTGTACTGTCTCAGTGTGAACATAGATTAAACAGCCAGCCAAACTCTTTTGAGAGCGAGGGAATGAGCAGCCATGCTCCTTTATTGACTTATTTGCAGTCCACTGACATTCAAACGGAGTGAAACTATAAAAGAAGAAGTTTCAAGGCACTTAATGATCTCATACATGCAAGTGTAACATACACAGATTACAGTACTTGTAGAATATGGTCATGTAGAATAAGGCATTAATACGTGTTTTATAATGACTAATAAAGAGCCAATATACTGCTAATATGCATGTTAATTAAAAACTAGTTGATGGTGAATTTGTGTACCTTAATATAAAGTTGTACCGCTTATATGATGAACATTGATGTCTATGTGCCTTATTCTGTATTTGACATAATTGTTTCAATTAAAAAAAATATATATAACTCAATATAATGAAATAGCTAAGTCAATATATTGACTTACAGGATTTCTTTAAAAAAAATCCTGTGGCGCAAACAGGCTTCCATAATATGACCCTGATTAATCACTTTTTTATTAAAATGATCACTGTAATAACCTCTCAGTGACCTAGTCAGACTGTTAAATGAAGTGCTATTATAAGATCCTTCTTTAAAGTGGACCTATCATGCTATATTTAAATGATATATTGTAGGGCCATACCTATATAAGGTATATTTATACGTTTCTTTTTTCAAAATACCAAACAGATCATGCATTTTAGCCATGCCTCATTTCGCTCTATTTGCTGTTCTCCAGGCCTGTTTTTGCAAGGGCTGATTCTGTGACTTAGCTTGAGCTGCAGCTGACCACGCCCCCCTGCAGAAGAGGGGGACGTGACACGGCCCCGGCACGAGCGTCATGTTACCATGCTTGTTTTGAAAACTAGACGAGAAGAAACATGTCCTCCCAGAAAAATGCATGCGTTCAAGCGTATTTTGATGAGTATGATCCAGAATCGGACACTGAAGGAGACGAGGTTTCGGTGGAAGTGCAAATATCTCGGTTGCAGCAGGACCTTTCTGAATGGTTAGTTGACACACTTTTGTCCCTATTTATTTTAAGTTAACTCTGTTTGTTGTTACGATGCTTGCTACTTATTCCGTTCATATTTTGGCTAATTAGCAAGAATGAAATGTGTAGTTTGTAACGTAGAGTTTGTAATGCAAAAACAGCGGTAGGCTACATATATCATACAATAAACATTTATTCATTTATTGACTTCTTTATACAGGTGTACATGTGGAAATTGCGCCACAATGCCTTCGGAACCTGAGAATGTGTGCTGCATTGAGATACCACAGGTAACATTTTTGATAGCTTCACTAAGTTCTCTGTTTAGAGAATACATTTTTCACATGTCATTCAATATATGTTTATCTCACTAGGTGTCAAGACGGATGCAGGAACTTGAGGACTCGGTGCGTTGTATGGTGGACCATCCTGGTTTGGAGCCTGTGTGCCTAAATGTGTTCTCCCTGCAGAATGCATTGAATATATACAGAGCTGAATATGGAGACTACAGATGAGGCAAATACAGCAGTGAGTGGTTTGTTTCTTTTGACTGAATTTGTAAAACGTATGCTAATATTGTTCATGAAAATAAATACTGGTGTATTTGGTTTTATGCAATCTTTCATTTCATTCTGTCATTGTACATGGCGTTACTATTATATTACATATACTACACAGAAATGGCATAACACACCCATTTGTTGATGACAAAAAAAGTCCACACACAACCTTATGCTTTTGAAATCAGCATATACTTTACCCATCCAACATGAATAATCATGACACATTTGATATAAACTGTCGGAACTTTATTGTTAAAAGCAAAGGTTCTTTGAACCCATAAAAATAAAGTAAATGTACTTTTATTTTACATAAATGACATAGGCTTTTCACTAAATATTCTTTGAAATTATTTCAGGCGTCACAGGTATCTAGCCTACAGAACTTTTGTGAGCTGGTGTTGGGGCTTCCTTGGACGCAGGATCAGAGTGGTGATTCCGGCCTGCGTTGTCCTCAGGATTCGCAGGGAGTTTCCTGATCCGCAAAATGTCTATGTTGGGTTCAGACAGCAGCCAAATTGAACCGTGTAGCATAACCTGCGATGACCTCCTCCCTGTCAGGTCGCTCATATTGGGAACACAGGTCCTCTGGGATGGGTATCTTCAAAAGCTCCTGTGTGAATGGTGCAGGGTCCACAAAGACTTGGTCGAAGATGAGGTCCATCAAGTTGGCAACGTAGCCTGTGCAATATTAAAAAAAGCAAAACAAATATTTGGTTTGGTTTGTGTATGCATGTGAAAAAACTGAGTGTACTCTTTTACTTCTGCCATTGTTGTTGTAACGCTGCAGTTTCTTTTGAAAGAGATTTGAAATGTGAAATATCCAATGTAAGGTGTACATTTTGTTGTGTAAATAGTTGTATAATAAATATTTTAAACTCTTACGGAATGTGTACGAACAGTACGGTGCTTCGGTGGGTCAGTCTGACATGCAGAATCTATCATCACAGATAATCTGCTGGTAGCATGTGAGGTGCTGGCCTGTAAAGAAGAAACCATAGTTAGAACAAAATCATCTCAACTTAGTATTCAGGATGAGAAAATACTATTTGGATAATTATAGTCTGAAATCCCAAAAGATGGGGGCTAAAACTGTCTATTTAGCAAAGCTCTTTGCATGCTTAGCCTTTTCCAATCTGAGTTAGTTTGGAACCGTAACGTGCATGCTGTGTTTCTGACAGGATACAGATGATGTGTTGGAGAGGGGCTGAGCTCAGTAGACTGACTGTAATGAGTGCTAGCCACTAATTAGCCTGTTGCTGGAGGTAAGGCCCCGTCAACAACAACAACAACAAACCAACGGTGCTTTAGCTCGGTTTTACTCGTGGTGTGTCTCCCCCCTCCCCCATAGATCCTAACAGTCGTGCACACACACACCCATTTAAATTCATGTGCGCTAACAAGTAAACACATAAAAGCTTTTACATATAACGTTGCAAAAAACGGCGTGTCTCATTAGCGTAGCGTAGCTTACAGATCGATGATATCTGATCATTCTTACAGACTACAATCACAAAAGCTTGTACATATAACGCTGCAAAAAACGGCACTTAGCTACAGAAGATTACGTTTGTTATTATAACTTACTTTATATGATTTTAGAGGATACAAAATACTAATAAATACGAGAATAAATACTTCTGTTATCTGCTATGGCGTGGCTTTACAGACTTCACACAGATCGCCATTGCGGCAGTATGTCTGAGCATGTTATCAAATGCCTGATAATTAAAATAAAATAAAAGACAGTGGAGCGTACAAAATAAAATAAAATGTTACAAAAACATATAAACACCTAACCGATTACTGTTTGGGTTTGAGGCGACATTGATACGGTGAAGCTACATGCTACATGCTACATGCTACAAGCTAGAATAGCTTTATCAGGAAAAACACAGCTAAATAAAAACGTACAGCTTCCAAATTGGATGTGGCCTCACTGGTCTGGTCCCGGATGGTGGGTATTGATCCCGGTTTTAGCCTTAGTTTGGAGGCAAATCCTCCTTTGACTTGAGTGAAGTTCATAAACATGTCCGGGGCAAAATGTTGTGAACACACAAGCAGAAATTTGCTGTAGTCTTCTGGCACATGTCCCTGGAAAATAAACTCTAGCCACAGATTCCTGTCTTTTTCCAGAGATGGCAGTGCATGCAGTACCTTGCCCTTGTCCAGATTATTGCAGCCAACAACAGCACAACGTTTAACTCCCTTGGACGACATCGTTGTTAGAGTACGCAAAAACATAGATGTGACTGGGGGAGCCTGCCGACAGCCTATATGCGAATGAGAGGTTGGGCAATGACCGTGGCCGTGGCCCAACCCCACATTCCCCTGATAGGTGGAGAGTTGGCCCAATAGCCGTAGCGCCACCGTCCTGACGTCAGTAAAGTGTTAAAATCTGGATCAGTTTTGATCAGATCCGTTGCAGCCCCTTTTTTAGAGATTTGGGTATGGAGGAAAATAGAGAGGGTTGTGTTTTCTGACACTTGGTGAGTTCCCTGGAACACCGGGGACACATATTCATGTATAAAAGACGTACAAAAGTGCATTTTGCATGATAGGTCCCCTTTAATAAATTAGAATATATCACATAAGACTAACCTGCTACTAAAAATAATAGATAGACATATATAAAGTGTTCAAAGTAAAAACTAAATTAAATGAGAATATATTGAAAATTAGGTCAATAACATTTACCTATGACAGCCAGTTGTTATGCGACATGATAAATTGTCTTGAGATGAGATTTTAACTGCGTTTTTTTGTATCTGTTCCGTAAAATCGAGTGAGTTTTTGGGTTTTGAAAATAAAAAGCTATACAACCAAATATGACATTCAACCTGCTAATAAACATTGAGCTGAAACTCGCTGTAAAGCTCCTTAAAAGCACTAGATGCAATTAAATCATAACAATAATGAAAGATGGAGTTTAGTGACCTCCTAAAGCAGCGAGGGATCATGGGAGTTTACTGTGTCAGTCAGCTTCTCACAGTTAGGATCCCTTCAGTGTGCATGGTTCAGGAGGAATTATCCACAGAGGTCTCCTCCACTCCAAAACAGACATTCTCTGTGATTTAAACCGGTAAAAAGGTAAAAAGAAAAAAACCTGGTTTAGCAAGAAGGCTAACTACCTGTAGCAACAGCCTCCTTTTCAAACGTCAGGATCAGACCAGTCTATGGACCAGACCCAGCATCGATCCAGATAGATGTGAGTGACTTAAAGCACATATCAGAAAAAACTAAAAAGCATGAACAAACTAGAGTCCACATGGATGATGCTATGCGACTAGCCATGCTTAGGAAAGTAAACACTGCTGTCCAATGAAGGCTACAGCATAGGGATCAGTAAGCATAATAAGGAGGTTGACAAAAACAGGCACTCAGATAATAGACTGTATCAAGTGCTGTGTGCCTTTGAGCTAGCCCTGCGTTGTAATATGACATATGTTTTTACTTTGTGTATACGTTTGCTTAAATGTTGGTATAGCCCCCCTTGAGAAAGATGCACCAGCCGCCACTGGATTCCATACATATTGAACTCCCATAGTGTTTGTTACAAAAAGTGTGGGTGAAATAACTAATATATTGAAGTGACTTTTCTTTTTACAGATAATGGTGGAAAGAAAATGCATTACATGAATGTCCACACAAAATATGAAGAAATAAATAAAGATATAAAATAGACAGCTTGCAGAGAAATGTTTCTTCTTTTAATTTTAAAATCGATTCTGTAAGCTACTGGTAGCCAGTGCAGAGATCTGAGTACTGGGGTGATGTGTTCTACTCTTTTTGTTTTGGTCAGGACTCTGGCAACGGCGGTCTGGATTAGTTGAAGTTTTTTAACCAATTTTTTACAGAGACCTGTAAATACACTATTACAGTAATGAAGCCTGCTAAAAACAAATGCGTGAACTCGTTTTTCAAGGTCTTGTTGAGACATGAATGTTCTAAGTCTGGCTATGTTTTTCAGGTGATAGTATGCTGATTTAGTAATTGTGTTTATGTGGGATTTTAAATTGAGGTCGGGGTCCAGAACTACGCCTATATTTCTCACCTTTTCTGATGTATTTAGCAGTAGGGCTTCTAGTTTAGCGCTTACTTCAGCCTGTTCCTCCCTTTTGGCACCAAAGATAATTGTCTCTGTTTTTTGTTTTTTTTATTGTAGGAAATTGTTGCTCATCCAGCTACTGATTTGTTCCATGCAGTTGGTGAGGGATTGTGGTGGTCCGTAGTCACCAGGCTTTATTGTAATGTATAACTGAGTGTCATCCGCATAATTGTGGTACGACATTTTGTTTACTTTTAGGATCTGGGCTAGTGGAAGCATGTATACTGTATGCTGAATAGAATTGGACCAAGAATCGACCCTTGGGGAACTCCACAAGTCATTGCTGTTTGTTGCGATTTAAAAGAACCAACAGACACAAAGAAGTCCCTGTCCTGCAGATACGATTTGAACCAATTAAGTGCTTTGCCAGATAAACTAACACAGTTTTCTAGTCTGTCCAGTAATATTTTGTGGTCCACTGTATCAAAGGTGATTTGGCCATTGTCTGTGTTTAAATATATGTCGTTTAAGATCCTCATAAGTGCGGTCTCAGTGCTGTGATGGGCTCTGAATCCAGACTGGAGAGCATCAAAGCAGTTATTTTGTGCCAAAAAAGAGTTGAGCTGATGGAAAACAGCTTTTTCTATAATTTTACCCAAGAAGGGTAGGTTTGAAATACACCATCAGACTCCCTCAAAGCATGGGTGGCCAGAGGCTTATATGAGTTAAGCCCCTCCCCCATAGGCCTAACTATTTATCATATTAATGAATGTTTTTCTAAATAACTACACATTTATTCCAATGTATCCTAAAATAATTAAACACAGTAAGTCAAAGGAGTCATCATATGATATTACCTTTTGACCTATAAAGCCCTAAACAATGACA